TTTGAGACTGCTAAGTACAAGTAGAGTTGCTCATCTACTTTTGGAGTATGAAGGAGCGGCGGGCTCGAGAGGTACCGCTTTAACTTTTCCAATGCTTGTTGGCATTCCGGGGTCCATGCAAAATTGTTCTTCTTTTTGAACAACGAAAAGAACTTGTGACTTCTATCTGAAGACTTTGAGATGAATCGGCCTAGGGCGGCTATGCGCTCTGTTAATCTTTGTACGGCCTTAACATTATCCACGACTGTGATGTCTTCGATCACCTTGATCTTATCGGAGTTGATTTTGATACCCCGATTTGATGCCATAAAGCAGAGAAACTTGCCCGAGCCGACCCTGAATGCACACTTCTCCGAGTTGAGTTTCATGTTGTATTTCCTTAGTATATCGAAGGTCTCCTGCAAATGTGTCAAATGATCCTCTGCTCGCAGGGACTTAACTAGCATATCGTCAATATAAACTTTCATTGACTTACCTATTTGTTCTTCGAATATTCGATTTACTAGGCGTTGATAAGTGGCACCAGTATTTTTTTAGTCCAAACGGCATTACATTATAACAATAGGTGCCGTACTTAGTGATGAACGAAGTCTTTTCCTGATCCTCCGGGTTCATTTGTATTTGATTGTACCCGGGGTAAGCATCGAGAAAACTAAGGATCTCGTGGCCGGTCATGGCATCGATCATGCGATCGATATTCGGTAGAGGAAAAGAGTCTTTAGGACATGCTTTGTTCAAATCTTTATAATCTACACACATCCTAACTTTATTTCCCTTTTTAGGGACTACAACTACGTTTGCTAACCATTCGGGATATTTTACCTCCCGAATGGATCCTATCTTGAGAAGTTTGGTTACCTCGTCCTTGATGAATGTGTGTTTAACCTTAGACTAGGGTCTTTCTTTTGTTTTACTGGGAAAAACTTCGGGTCCAAGCTCAGTCGATGTGTAGCGATTTCCGGCGGGATCCCTGTCATATCTAAATGGGACCAAGCAAAACAATCCATATTATTGATAAGAAATTTAACGAGTTTTTCGCTGAGCTCGGGGGTTAACCCTGTTCCCAGGTATACCTTTCGATCGGGTAGATACCCGATCAGTACGTCCTGCTCTAGCTCCTCGACCGACGATTTGGTGGCGTCGGAATCCTCGGGGATTATGAAGGATCGAGGGATCCAATAGTCATTGTCCTCGTCTGTTCCCTGCTCCTCCGATTCAGTCGAGGCTGGTAGTTGTGGTTGCTATTTAGCTTCCTGTTTTCCTTTGGATTTCAATTTTTTTGTTGACGAAAGTGCCGATACCGGTATCACTTCGTCGACCGCGAACATCTCTTTGTAGCGTGTTGTTCCCGTATACCATTTTTACTCCATCCGGTATTGGGAACTTTAGCATTTGGTGAAGTGTTGAAGGAACTGCCCTCATATTGTGAATCCAGGGTCTTCCGAACAGGGTGTTGTATCTCATGTCGCCTTCGATCATGTGGAACTTTATTTCTTGAATAGTCCCAGCTATATTTACTAGTAAAATGATTTCTCCTTTAGTTATTTTGCTTGCCATGTTGAAACCATTGAGAACTCGAGCTGCGGACATGATCTGGTTTTGTAAGCCGAGCTGCTCCACAATCCTTGATCGAATAATATTGGCCGAGCTTCCTGGATCAATTAAAACATGTTTAACCTGAATTTTATTCACAAGGATAGAGATTACCAATGCATCATTGTAGGGTTGTGAGATTCCTTCTGCTTCCTCATCGTTGAATGATAAAGTGCCTTCTGGTGTATAGTCTCAAGTTCGTTTTTCCCTGGTGATCAATACCTTAGTGCGTTTGAAAACAGGCCCTTGTGGAATATCAATCCCACCAACGATCATGTGAATCACGTGTTGTGGTTATTCCTGCTCAATTTTTCTGTCTGCATCCCTGTCTCTAAAATGATTTTTAGCTCGGTCTCTTAAGAACTCTCAAAGGTGACCCTCGTTGAATAGACGGGCCACCTCTCCCTTAGTTGTCTGTAGTCTTTGGTTCTATGACCATGGGTACCATGGTATTTACATATTTTACATATACCTGACGCGTCGATGCTGAAGTTGTATTCTGATAATCGTGGTGCCTCTGTGGGATCGGCAAGTTTATCAAAATAGTTTTTGCTCATGAGCCCTCGAGAGCTCTGTCCTTGATCTTTCCTTCGATCATTTCGGATGGGATTGCGTCCCTGGCCGCTGTTTCTATGATCTGCATTGTGTGGCTGATATCGGTCTTTGTTCGACCGAGGTTCTCTGTCGATATCTCTCTGAGTTCTTCCAACGGGCCTGATCGGATAAGCGGAACCGGAAGGAGTCCCTAATTGATCATCCTGGACCTTGATCTTTGACTGGTATCGATTATGTACATTGGCCCAGGTTACCGCCGGGTATTCAATTAAGTTCTGCTTTAGCTGTCGTGAGGCCACCGAACTTCAATCGTTCAAACCTTGAGTAAAAGCTTGAATAACCCAATCGTCTGTGACTGGTGGTAGTTCCATACGTTCCATCTGAAACCGAGATACGAACTCCCTTAACATTTCGTTATCTTTCTGTTTTACCTTGAAGAGGTCCGACTTCCTAGTCACAACCTTTATTGCTCCGGTGTGTGCCTTTACGAAAGAGCCTGCAAGCATGGCGAAGGAATCGATGGAATTAGGTGGCAGATTGTGATACTATATCATTACCCTCTTCGATAGAGTTTCTCAAAACTTCTTTAGTAGAACCGATTCGATCTCATCATCTTCTAAATCATTTTCTTTTATCGCACATGTATAGGAGGTGACATGCTCATTTGGATCAGTGGTCCCATTGTACTAGGGGATTTCCGGCATGCGGAATTTCTTCAGAATCGGATTCAGAGCCACACTCGGGGGGAACGGCTTCTGCACGAACTTCTTCGAGTCCATACCTTTTAAAATTGGCGGTGCCCCGGTATTTGATCAACCCGGGAGTTATAGGTCTCTACTTTCTTGTTATTTGCCTCGATTTTCTTTTCTCCCATTTCAATTCGTTTAGTGAGCTCCTTGAACATTTTCATAATGACGGGGTCAGTCCCCGATTCATTGGCATTTGACCTTTTCGACACTGGGTCGGTTCGGTGGACGACTTCAGGTTCTACCCCACTCGGCACTCGATGTTGATTTTGTAATTGTACTACAACGGCTTGTTGAGCCTGTAATATTTCAAATATCAATTAGAGGCTAAATCCACCATCTCCTTCGCCCTACGTACTTCGACCACCAGATCGACCTTCCCTGCGTACGCTACCTTCGGGATCAACACCCAAATCTGTATTTAGGGCGATATGTGAACTGACGTCGATGAGGTTTGCAATTGGTACTCCCTCGAGATCAGCCTGAGGCACCTCGATTTCTGGGGCAACTATATTGTCGTTTTCTCCGTGAAATCCGAAACCGTTGTTACCATGTGTGGGTGTTGTTTGTGAGTTTGACATGCTTTTTCCTGAAAACAAAAACACTTACAAGAACAAGCATAAAGTAGTGTTATCGCAATTAATATTAAGCAATCACTATTATCCTTAGCCCCACTGTGGGCGCCAAACTGTTTACCCTCAAAATTGGATAACAATTAAACTTATAATGTGGATTTAAGGACACGTAATTTCACTTAATACCGATTGATAAATATGAAGATTAAAGATAGAATTATACAATAAAGTAAATCAAACCAGTATTTGAGTAGAACTCAACCCTTGAGTTAGAGTATCCTCGAACTGATTGATGCTAGGACGATAAAAGCACAATAAGCTGAAGAACAAGAGTGTGAGCAAGGAAGAAAAGTATATTGCTTTGTTATTAGTTGTGGCTACAAATGGTTAGAACTCCCCTTTATATAGTAGAAGAATTCTATATATGGTACAATTCTAATTACAGAAGGAAATCCCATGATTAACTAAACAACCGTTCTTGATTCGATCTGTTCCGAGATTTCCGTCATGATCTTCGACCGGTCGCGGATATCTCGCTTTTTCGTTATTACGCAATCTTCGGTATTGCTCGATACCTGTCTCGTTCGGTCTCGATTGTTGTCGGCCTCGATCTTGGCAGGTGCCTCGAATTCCGATCTCAGTACCTTGTCTTCGTGCTTTGATCCGATCTACTTCAGAGTTGTCCTTCGATGCAAACTCCCGATCTCGGTCAAACAGTAAAATCGGGTTGGCCTGGTTTTAATCGTATACAGTCATGTTTTGCTTCATAGAAGTCAATTTGACTAATCTTCAAAATTAAATTGGATTATATTAATTTAATATATTAAAATTAAACTTTAAATATTTAAAAATTATATAGATATTACTACAAATTGTAATGCTTCTTATGTTAATATAATACAAAAATTTAAAATATTGATCAAAGTTAGTAGTATAATTTAACTTCCAAGAAAAGTGAAATATGACTAATTTGGTACTCTCTCTGTTCCAATTTATGTGAACTTGTTTAACTGGGCACGGAGTTTAAGAAAAAATGAATACTTTTGAAATTTGTGGTCCTAAACAAGTCATAATATTTGTATTGTTATAATTCTTTTGAAACTTGTGATTGTAGATATGCTAGAGTATTTGTGTGGTTATAAAAGTTTCTTATTATGAGTAAAATTAAAAGTTTAAGCTAAATTATTTCCAAATTTAAAAAAAAAATAAGAACGAATCAAAAAGAAAATAGGTTCACGTCCGGATTACATAAGAGTACTATTTTAATGCTACTAGAAGGAAAGCAGAAGAAGAGGAAAAAATCTAAATGAGGAAACCCAATCTATCTATGATGCTGGGGAATAAACAAGTGACGTGGCAGGCTTCACATGCGGGAATGCATTTATCTTTTATCTCATTTTTTTGGATTTTCTTCTCTCATTTTAATACAATAACTAATTATTACATTAAAAATTAGCCTTGTAACTGTATCTCCATAATAAATGAGGAAAGAGAGAGAGGTGTCGTTTCAAACTTTTACCAAACTCGTAAAACCTTTGGCCTTTCAGTTTCTCCAGTTTTAAAGGGACATGGTATCTAATCTTATATATAGAGAATATCCTCAAGCAATCATCTTATTGCCTCCATAAGGATTCTACTCCATCTTTTTCACCAAAATTAATGGTGGTAAGAACTCGCTTTTGTTTCCTGTTTACTTTGAATATATTATAATGGTAACTCGCGATTATTTTCAATATATATTCTTCATTCGCATGTTTCTGAGTCTATAACTACGTTGTGCAAATTCATAAGGTCCACAAACTTTTATAGCCCTGGATTTCGATGTCCCCAAGTTAAAAAATTTTGTGCCCAAGTAAGTCTGCAAGGAACTGAGGAAGGTATCTCATGATTTTTAGTGTCGAGCATTTTACTTTTTACTGCTAAGAGATCGTTGATGTAGGCTTTCATGAAATACAATATTACATTTGCAATCAATTCTGGGTATTGATTGTAAAAAATATCTTTGACGAAGGATTTGTTTTTACGATTTAAGAAGGGAAGAAGTTGTTGACATGCTTGGGAGGAAGAATAAAGCAGAGGTTAACGGAAAAAATTGGTATTATCATTATTTCTTTCTACTTTTTTTTTTATTTCTAATTAGTTTCTTCTGTTTTCATTTTCCTAAAAGTATCTTTTTGTTTTATTTTTCATATATATACTTTTTCTTTTACCTTAATTATTTTAAGAATCCCAAAGGTTACACTTTGTAACTTTTTATATCAAAATTAAATTTATGATATGTTTAAATTTATATCATTATACTTTTTTGTTAATTTCATTTGTAGGATTGTGCAGTGACCAGTTTCCACATAAATTTGATCATAAATGGATAACGCAAGAGTTTTCTCTTTCTAGAAGGAATTGAGTAAAAGACATGGTTACACCGGAAATGTGAAGCTCCAATCACTTATCCCAATGTCTTTACATTATCGCTTTTATGGGTATTGCTCAAAAGTTTTGGCAAGCTAAGATTATGGAATTATAAATTAGGGAGCGCTATTTATTTAACTTTAAAAATGAGGTAGCAAGCTTAATTAACCCTGATGTGAATTTGAAAGTTTTTTAATACTTCAAGGTTATGGGTTGTTTTATTTTACGCTACTTTACTCTTCTTGGAAGTAATACTCTTATATATACTGTCAATTATAGACAGGCCAATCGGTATGGTGTTCATAAGAGCTGCCAAGACAGCACCTCTTCATTTTAGATTTTTTAAATAATAAAAACTTATGAAAGCATTAAAGTAAACTCACAAATGGAAGGAAAAAGTTAAATACTACTCACTCCGTTCTAATTTATGTGAACCTGTTTGATTGAGCACGAAATTTAAAAAAAAATGAAGACTTTTGGAAAGGTAATTAAAAAAACCCTAAATAGTCCCACTTTCATCAATATTTTGATTTTTAAAGCCGAATAGATAATATTTCAAGTTTCAAACTATTTTATCAGTAACACTTAGGTTTATATTTTGCTCTAATATCACTCAGGAGTTCTTGAATTTGAGGGGAAAATTGGTCTCTTTATATGCACATGGCTAACAAATTCTAAGAAAGTTCTTTATTTGTATATTACCTCCGATTCAGTTTATGTGAACCTATTTTCTTTTTGGTCCGTTTTAAAAAGAATGATCCCTTTTTAAATTTGAAAATAATTTTGCTTAAACTTACAATTATATCCTTAATGAGAAGTTTTTATAACCAAACAAATACTCTGGGGCCTTTTTTGAATTGTTTAGGACCACAAATTCACTAGTTAAAAAAGAAGAGAGAGGAAACAGAACTGAAGAGGAGCTCAATTTTTAAGACACTTTAAAACTTATATCAATTATTAAGACAAAAGTGTTAAGAATGGGATAAAAGGGACACTTTGTGATTAGTGTTAATGACATAATTTTTAAAACCCCCAAAGTTTTCTTATTTACAAAAAAGTCCCCTTCCTCCTCTACCCCTATTCCTCCTCCCACTCCTTCCCTCCTCCTCCTCTACCTCATCCCGCCACTCCTCCATCTCGCAACGCTCCTCTCTATCTTCCCCTTACTCCTACATCTTGCAACGCTCCTCTCTATGCCCGCCACTCTTAATCCTCAAATATTTAGGAAGATGTTTCAAATATTTAGAGAAATGTTTCAAACATCTACTCAGATGTTTCAAAACATCTGCACAGATGTCTCAAACCTTTGCACAAATATTTCAAATATATGTGTCAAAAAGATCAAACATCAAAAAGAAAGAAGTTGAAGAAATATTCGAGAGATCCAGGATCTTTGAGGGGATGTTTTGCATAATACTTATTTATGAGAATGTCTCAAAATATCTAGAGGGTATTTTGCAGAATATTCACTAAAATTTGATATTTTTTTTTTCTCTCGTATATTTTAAACCACCAGAAGAAAAGAAAAAAATGAAAAAAGAAGAACATGAAAATGAGATGAAGAGGGGAAGAAGAAAAAGACAAAGAAGAAAATGAAGAAGAAGAAGATGACATATACGAACTACCAACAACAACAACAACAAATATGAAGAGAAAAATGAAAGTAAAGAAGAAGAGTGTGAGGATGAGGAGGAGAAAGAAGATAGAAGGAAGAAGGAGAAAAGAAGTAAAGAAGACAGACACAGAGACGAGAGAAATAAAAATTTGAAATAATTTGAATGGTTATGATTTTTTAAAAATTTTAAAAACTTTAATATTAACCCACAACTTTTATAACTTTTAATCTATCTCAACCCCTTTAATTTCACATTTTTTGTTATTGTTACGCAAGACTCTTTTTTACCTCATTTTTCCGAGGAGCTCGTCGTGTCCTTTCCCTTTCCCCCTCGCTAATGTAGACGAAATGAAACCCTAGTTATCTCCGTTTCTCCAACTCACTCTCTCCCTACGCACGCACCCAAATAATAAGAGCTTGACCTTGTTCTTCTCTCTCGATTTCCCCAATTTCGGTGGTTATTTTCTGTAATCGAATCATTCATTTCTCAGAAGAACATATATACACATGAATTTAGAAGCATAGATATAGAAATGTATAGAGATCGAGGAGGCGGTGGAGGACCGTTGGATCGGAAGCGAATAATCAACGTTGCATTAGATAAGCAATTGGAGAAATCTTCAGCGGCACCTACATCCAGAGCGTTGAAGGAGAAAGCTGTTCCGTCCACGTCAGCTGGAAAATGGCATCATCGTAATATTAATCAGCATATGGATACTCTTTCTTCTTCTACTCTCACCACCAAAAACAAGTGCTCTGATGGTATGTAAAAGTGTTACTCTTTCCGTCCCCACTTTATGTGACTGTGTTTGAGTGACCATGGAGTTTTAGAAAAAGATTACTTTAGAAATTTGCGACTTAAAACAAGTCATAAATATCTCCGTGACTATAAATAATCTCATTGCGTGTAAGTTTTATAGTTACAGAAATGTTATTTTTTTTGAGACCGACTAAGAAAGTAAAGTTTGCTACGTAAAATGGGACAGAGGGAATACTTGTTTTTCCTACTGCTACAACCAGTTTTTATGTTTATGAATGCATAAGATTTTGCTCTTTGCAGGTAAAAATTGGTTAGTTTAGTAGTTAATCATTCATTTCTTTTTATGATCTTAGGAATAAATATCTGGAGATGAGTTTTGGGCTTTAGGTTTGGTATAGTATTTTGATTTTCAAATACCAGCGGAGGCAAAAAAAAATATTAGGTGGTTCTTTCCATCTGCCTAAGCTTTTGTTGGCAGAGTTACCCAGTATCGGTGATAGTGGGAGGTAGCATGTAACATGTGGCATAGTCGATGTGCGTGCAAGCTGGTTAGGACTTCACAAGAAAAGAAATTAGGCTTAAGCGATTTCTTCCCATCTCAGACAAAGTTACAGGTACCCGATGGAATATTGGGTTGGTGTTCAGTGTGGGCAGTCTCCTCTATCAAAATAGTAAGAGATAGTCGAGGTGTGCACAAGCTGGCCTGGACCCATCGTAGTAAAAAAAAAAAGAATTTTGATGTCAACTGTTGGATTACAATTTTCTTTACTCGTGTCTACCAGATGTGAAGATATGTTTCTACATCATTTTGGTCTTGGTGGTGGCAGTAAATTTTCTTTTGGAGTTCCAGTTGGCTATCATTCTTCCCCTTCCAAATTACATATCGAAAATGGTTCTAAAATTGATCCAAAACTGTACAAGCTTCTTCCAAAGCATATGGTTTTCTGGATGTAGATGATGATATCTGTACAGATAGATCTTTTATATATATATATATATATATATATATATATATACCATGCATGGATATTATATGAATCCAAATCTGCCGAATCACTCATGTTATGATCTTCTATATCCTAGGTATTCCCTTTTTGTCATATTGCTTATGTTTTTCATATATTATTCAGACCGAATGACTCTACGAAATTACGTTATCTGCATGAATATGTAAAGGGGGCTCCTTTGGCACTTATTGTCAAAAGGAACTTCTTTGGCACTTCTCAGTAGAGTCTTAGATGGATCTATTTTCCTTAGTTAAGGTTTTATGTGATAGAATGCATTTAACTTGGCTGGAATAATAGAAATTCAATTTCTCCTAAGAAGCATGTAAAATGAGATGTGAAAAAAGTTCTGTCAAGTATCAAAGGTGGAACGTGGCTGGAAAAGCTATTGCTGGAAAAGTTCTGTCAAGTATCAAAGGTGGAACATGGATGGAATAGCTATTACTGGAATGCCATTCTATTCTGCTTCTGCTTCCTTGTGTATCTTATGAAGTTACATTGTAGAAAGTTCATAGATTCTCAAAACGTTCAAGGTAAAATGATATATGGTTTTACAGAGTATGCTGGTTGTAAGCATGATTCATTGTTGGTCATGGCTTACGATATTATGTCTTCTTTGCAATTGCTTCTTTTTTGGGAATCTTGGGACCTGCTTACCAGGCATTGTAAGAGGTGGATTCATTGTATATGGATCTACTGATGAATACTCAGATGCAGCATCTTGCTATTATGGTTTAGGGTGGTGTGGGTAATCAGGTTATAACTGATGGTTTCATTTGGTGTCTCACGGAAATTGAAATCAAGAGTATTTATCAATTTGTTTCGAGTTACTACCTATAGTTACTTGGAGAGCTAACTCATGTTTCCTCTCTATTTTCACTGCTCTTTTGACATCAACCTTGAATTATGATTACCGGTATCCTCTAGTGCTATATCTTAGAGAGGTAGACTTATAGATTTGAGTCTTTCGAGTTACTACCTATAGTTACTTGGAGAGCTAACTCATGTTTCCTCTCTATTTTCATTACTCTTTTGACATCAACCTTGATTTTTGATTACTGGTATCTTCTAGTGATTTATATTAGAGAGGTAGACTATTATTGATTTGAGTCTTGGTGTTTCACCCGAAGATACTGGAAAAGCCAAAGCATGTGGCCACTATGTTTTCATTACTCCTGGGGACATCAGCCATTTTATTTTGCTTATGCTTCGGTTTTCTTAATGATTTGACTTTTTTACTTGCATTTCAAGCAAGAAATGAGTAAATGCCCATGGATGTGTATTTTGCAGAGGAATCTGAATCAGACAGTGAAGAGTCTGATGTTAGTGGTTCTGATGGAGATGACACATCATGGATTACTTGGTTTTGTAACCTGCGTGGGAATGAGTTCTTCTGCGAGGTTGATGACGACTACATTCAAGATGATTTTAACCTCTGTGGATTGAGTAGTCAAGTTCCATACTATGACTTTGCACTTGATCTAATCCTTGATGTTGAATCCTCTCATGGTAAGTATAGTTGCTTCTTTAGGTTGCTTAATATTTTTGGATAAATTGCACTAGAACTACATTTAACTTGTCGTTTCAATCTAATGATGTAAGTTTTTGGTCTTCCATAGATAAAAAGGATTAGGTTATTTTAGTCATAGTGGAAACATACTGAACATCATAAGAGTTGCCTGGTTATTGTCTTTGGCACTTCAAGGTTGTTGGAATCATGTTGTTATTTCAGGACTCCTGCAGAGCTATAGAGTTAGTGCGTATAAGATCATTGGTGTAATCTAAGCTTCATCTCTATCTGATGGAAACAATCGGTGATCTGTTTTAGCTTGTACGGCTGGATAAAAGATCA